TAGTAGGAAAGTTTAAAGTTGAAATTGGCACTAAAAGGCCTGTAATTGGGGCATCCACCCCACAAAGCGTGAATATAAAATTTAAATTAGATGCGTTTAATCACTCTGGGAGCTTGTAGCAAATAGCGATGGGTGTTGAATCAATGAACTAGTTGAATCAACCGTTGATCTCCTGTCAACGTATTAACGTTTTCCGTTTATGAATCAACTAGTTGAATTCGTCAAAGACGTTTATGAATTCAACTTGTGCGTCTCGTTTAATAAACGAGAACGCAAACGCAACGGACTCACCAAATTCAAAAAAAATCTCTAAAATCATCTAAGTAGATCCATCAATCAAATGTTTTCCAATACATACATCAATTGAAAAAAAATATATAAATATAAAATATTATATATATATATATATATATATATATATATATATATATATATATATATTTTGTTAATTTATTATATTATATTATATACAATATGTAACATAATTAACGCACTTTGAGAAAGTAGTTTGTTCAGAATCGTTTACTGAATCGATTCTTATCATTTTTAATATAGGTAATTTTATATCCCAAAAATAATTAAAACTACGTAAATTACAGTCACACCAAATCTGTACAGTCATAACAAACTGAAATGGACCTTAACTTAAGGCAATAAGACTTTTAAGAGTGCAGTTTTATTTGTATTATTACTAATTCTGTCTTTCACTAAAAATAAATAAAAATGAACTTTATTTTAAGCACGTTAAATTCTTCTTTGCGTTCGTGGATTTGTACTGTGACAACATTCTTCCGGAATCATAGTCAACCAAATCTAAGAAATACCTTTTGACGTTTCACATTAATCATTTCGCAATAACTTTGCACAAGCGTCCTGACACGATTTAAAATAACCGTTTACGTAACTCCGAAGAATTATAAAATTATCTATTTTTCATTACAATGTATATAGTTTTTTATCACTAATTTAAATTCCAATCTTTGAAAAAAAGTAAAATATGAAAAAAAAACCAGTATCAACTTTTTTACTTGACGTCGTTTCTATGATATGTCGCTATCTTATTTTTACCGTAGTGTTTGTATGATTAAAATTCATTGTTATGCGAATAATCGGAAAAATGTGAAAATAATCGGTAAAAATATTAAAATAATCGAATCATTAATTTTTTAAATGTATTATTTGTTTAATTAAACTTTTATTTTTAATATTCTTTAAGATGCATAAATCATGAATAAAAGAAGTTGTTTTTACTTTGTCAACGTAAAGGAGACAAAGTAAAAAAATAAACTTCTTTATTAGATTAGATTTTGGGCTCACTAGACATTTTAACGTAACTTAGTAGTATTACACATAAAAAAGATACCAATTTACTATAGTAAAGGGCCTAAAGATTTTATAAAAAATCTAACCTGAATCATGAAATCTGTAAAAAAAAGTGTTTTGATATTTTTGTACTGGGTAATGTAATATATTGAATAATAAAAAGATAAATATATTTGATAATGATAGCTTATTATATACATATATTATGTAGTGGTATATTATTTATTTATTACTAAAAGGACTAAAACCACTAAAACTTGTTTTTAAACCGATTTCTAAAAATTAATAGTAATATCATGTAATATGTTTAAAAGTTACCGTGGAACGAATTTAATTGATAACTTCTCAGTATTCCCATTAAATACGGTAAAACTAATATCACTATTCTAATCTATAGATTATAGGAAATAAATCGACATGCATTTCATTAAGCTACGCCACAATTCGAGGTGACCATTCTCCATACAAAAAAATTGTCCCCTCTGTATGAAAAAAAAAACTCATATACAAGGCCGCCGCCATGCTGAAAAACCACTACGTAATTTCAATCTCCCACCACTTCGGGAGCTTACTGTGTGTAATTTTGTGATTTTCTGTTTGTCTTCTTATTTTGTGACTCGGCTCGGTAACTTTTTGTACTGTTTCTTCTATATTCGTTGGAATATATTGCTCACGTCGCAAAGGATGATTGGGCAAAAGTGGTAGAAAAAACAAAAAAATAATTTTGGATGACTTTGAAAGAGACATTAATTTTTACAAATTAAAAAAAGAGACATTAATTGAAAATCAAATAAAAGTTAATCTAAAAAAACGACAGCTCAACTAGTTGTACTAAAAGTGATTGAATAAATTTATTTTTACTCTAATTTCAAGCTTAAATTTTTATAACTTTGCCTGTAGAAAAAAGCAGTAACAACAAATACGAAGAAACAGATAAATCTTGTGATTTAAGTTATCCGTTTTTAATTCATTCTGGTATTATTCAAACGTAATATGAAATATGGGTAAATCAGGAATGTCTAGAACAGGTAAATGAAATTGTATACTTGGGGAGTGCTTTCAGCCGGGATGAAAGATGTGATTCAGATGTGGATAGGCGTGTGCGCTGCCGGAAACAAAGTCAATGGTGCCCTGAATGCATTAGTAAAAAGGCAAGGCGTGGTGAAGAGTGCACGCCTTGCAATACATAACGCAGTGTTGGTACCGACTTTGTTATACGGCAGCGAAACCTGGGTATGCCAGAAGAAGCATAAAAGCAAGTTGAATGCAGTGGAGATGCGATCTCTTCGTAAAATGTGTGGCGTTACCATAGCCGACCGAAAGCGAAACGAAGAGATTCGCAATATGGCAGGATTGAAAGATGACCTTATCACAAAAATTGATAGGGGCGTACTCCAATGGTTTGGGCACGTTGAACGAATGAGTGAAGACCGAATGGTGAAGAAAATATATAGAGCGAAAGTAAATATTAAAAAGGTGTCGAGGTAGACCGAGACTAACTTTCGAAGACCATGTGAACAAATTGCTCGAAGAGGGGAGGGTCAAGAGTACTCGGATACCTAGACGTGCATGTATGAAGAAGTTAATGATCCTGAAAGAAGCTAAAGAGGTATGTAAGTATCGTGTCACTTTGTTATATTTTCTCTATTTCTACTCCGTTAGTGATTTTGCGTAAAGATAAGTAAGTAAGTAAGTATTATTCAAACCAAACTGTAAATGATTACTAACTCTAAATAACTAATATCGATTTTTTAGGAATCTAATATTGTACGTTCCCATTTTTTGGTTGGCATACTTGGTGCAATAATTCTGACAGCTGTCAAAATGTATTTCTTAGATTTGGTTGACTATAGTATAACTAATTTGATAAATAATCAGTGCATAAAAATGTTTAACTAAAAATTCAGTGTATGTATTATGATTGTAACAAAATATACTAATTGGGGTGTTTAAGGGTGTGCGTTAATTACGTTACATGTTGTATATAATATAAATTATTTCCAAAATTGAACTTCGCAGCTTTGAATAAAAACCGTTCAATGAAGTTACTGTTTACGTTGAAAGTTGACATTAGTAGTACGTTAACTTGTTGACGCATTCAACTAGTTGATTAACTAGTTGACAAAAGTAAATCAACGTTAACGTTTCGTTAAAGGAAAAACCGTCAACGACCTATCGCTAGTAGCAAATTAAACGTGTGGACGCGGTCGCGGCGACGGCAGGCATTTTCGCCGCGCCGTAGAAAGAGAGGGGGATACTTCCTCTCCTACGCCGCACCGGCTGTCTCTCTCTTTCCATCCGTCTTACACATTTTCGATAAGGGTCACGTGTCCTGACGCGAGTTTATTTTATTTTTACATTTTTTACCCATTACAAAAAAGTGTACATCGCCGCTATAGAAGTTTACACTTCAAAAAATATAATCGTTGAAGCATGTGCCCAAATGTTGTGCCAAAGGATGATTGTGCAAAATTGGTAGAAAAAACAAAAAAATTGATTATGAATGAATTTGAGACATTAATTTTGACTGCATTATTGAAAATCAAATAATAATTAATATAAACAACATCTCTACTAGTTTTACTGAAAGTGATTGAATAAATTTATTTTCAATCTAGTTTCAATCTTAAATTTTTATAACTGTGCCTCTAGAAATAAGCAGTAACAACAAATACAAAAAAAAAAACTAATAAATCTTGTGTTTTAAATTATCCGTTTTTAATTTATTCTGGTGTTATTCAAACCAAACTGACTCTAAATAATCGATATCGATTTTTTTTTAAGAATCGAATATTGTCCGTTCCCATTTTTGGTTGGCATGCCTGGTGCATTAAGTCTGGCAGCTGTCAAAATGTATTTCTTAAATTTGGTTGACTATAAGTCGTAACTAAACTTCTATATATACTACTAATATATACTTATAATAGTATAATCTAATAATACATGGTAGAGCCATGCTGCAGCTATATTTGTATGGTTGCAGCACGAATAATTCGACTCGACCGGGGAAGGATCACTATATCACAGAATACCAGCGTAAAATAGCAGTTCAATGCCGCTGTGTTTTGTATGGTGAGTGTAGAGATCCGAAGACATTTTTACTGAAAATCTTACATCTTAGTCCTCAGGGGTCTGCATTTTGATACTTAATTGAGGATAGATGTGCAGCACCGCTATGCGCAGCACCGCCGTCAGCTTGTACAGAGCTCGTCTAGTAGTATACACAGAACAGAAGTGTTGCTGTGCGGTACCTAAGCGCGCGCATGAGAACGACGATCTCCAGGCGGGCGGGCGAGGTGCGGCGCAGCGTGCCCGCTATGCGCAGCACTGCCGTCAACTTGTACAGAGCTCGTCTAGTAGTATACACAGAACAGAAGTGTTGCTGTGCGGTACCTGAGCGCACGCATGAGCACGACGATCTCCGGGCGGGCGGGCGAGGCGCGGCGCAGCGTGCCCGCCATGCGCAGCACCGCCGTCAGCTTGTACAGAGCTCGTCTAGTAGTATACACAGAACAGAAGTGTTGCTGTGCGGTACCTGAGCGCGCGCATGAGCACGACGATCTCCGGGCGGGCGGGCGAGGCGCGGCGCAGCGTGCCCGCTATGCGCAGCACCGCCGTCAGCTTGTACAGAGCTCGTCTAGTAGTATACACAGAACAGAAGTGTTGCTGTGCGGTACCTGAGCGCGCGCATGAGCACGACGATCTCCGGGCGGGCGGGCGAGGCGCGGCGCAGCGTGCCCGCCATGCGCAGCACCGCCGTCAGCGCGCGCAGCCCCCAGTCATAGTGCGACTGCTTCGACAGCTGCTCGCGCGCCACTTTATATAGCACCGTCATCTTCTTAGCTAGCACCTGCCGTTTTAAAGGTCAAAAATCAATGGGATTACATAATAGAAACATTGCTATTACCATTTGGATGTCTTTGGGCAAGAGTGAATAAGATTTTGCTTTGTTAAGACAGAGCAATTTATCAAAAAATTCTCAGTTGCAATCCGGAGTCGGAATATTGACAGTGTTTTACTCCCGTGTCCCGGTACCTTTCACAAAAAGGTCTCTTATGATACCCAGGGTACGAAACGGCATGATCGATTATATTATAACACTAAGGTAATTACGTAAAAATTATAACTTACTTTAGCGGTGAGAAAGCCGTCGGAAAACAACGAAATCTGACAAATCATCTCCAAATCAGGCAGGATGCAAACCACGGGACGGAACAATGCCTTAACCGACTCCGGCAGTTCGGTGCGTCCCGCGTATCCCGGGTTCATAGTTATAAAGATGCCCACTTTGCTGTCCATGGCTATCTCTTGTCCTTCAAACTGATGAAAAAAGCAAATATTTGAAAAATTTAGGCGCAACCAGTTTTACGTGGCGGGCAACTTGACTTATTTGCCGTGTACTCAAAATATAATTTGGATAATGGGTTTTCCTTTACCCCGTTACCCCTAATTATAAGACGCATGTGCTTAGGAGGGGAATTACCAACAGCCTATGCTTATTTGTTTTAAGTAGTAAGGTGCAATATTCTACTTTGCTTTCGAAATTTGCATAACTGATAATATGGTGAAATTTCAAACAAGGTAACAATTTCCATATTAGAATAATCAAAAAATATTAGTTGCACAGGAATTATTATTGTGCTTAATGTGTAAGCATGTATATTGTATACACAAGCACTCACTTGTCCTAATCTACCCGCATGAGAGCTAATACTTATATGAGGTTGGAAATAAGCTGGAATGGAATTTAAGAAATATCTATAAATATTTACCTATACAAATAAATAAAACTGAAGTGTCTGTTTGTAATGTCAAAATAACAGCATTTTACTAAATTCATATGAAAATATATACCATAGTTACAAAAAAAAAATTAAAAATTTTGTCTGTTTATTCGGGCTAATCTCCGAAACGCCTGTACCAAATTTGACGAGACTTTCACTGACAGACAGCTGATGTTTATAACGAGTAACTCAGGCTACTTTTATTTTATAAAAAGAATAAGAGTTCCGCCCAAAAAAAATTAAAACCCATGAAATCCAATTGCCAAAAAATCCACGCAGACGAAGTCGCGGGGAACAGCTAGTTTTAATATATAAAAATCTCGTGTCACGCTGTTCGTTCACGTTAATCTTCGAAATTATTCAGCCAATTTTAATCAAATTTTATAAATGTGTCTGATGTGTCAAATTTCATAATAATATGTATAGATATAGATTTGCCATAATTACCATAAATGCGTATGACGTTTGTTGACGTTGGACGTTTGTTGTATTTATATTAATGTAAAATAAATTTATACCAATAACTATTGAAATTATCATTCTAAATAAGTTATCAAGCTATCGTGATAAGTCGCAGATAAGCTTACCGTGAATCTTTTTAGCTTCATGAGCAAAGCACTACGAATACACTGCAACTGCGATGATATGACAGAGAGCACAGAAATATCAATGCGATTGAATTCGTCGAAACATCCCCAGGCTCCACACTGGCACAAGCCAGCTAAGATCTGTCCCACTGCGCGGAAGTCCATACCTTCACCGCAATTCGTCACAATACAGAGCAGCCCAAGTGCTTTCGCTAGGTCTTTAACCGTTTCCGTTTTTCCTGTCCCCGCGGGCCCTGTTAATATTACCAAATTCATCTTAAAGCTAAAATTGAATTTGCTACTTCTTGCACAAAAATCGTAATATGTGATTCTTTTTAAAATAACGTCATTTATTTCTCGTTACAAAGAGTACTAAGATGAATTGTCCCGGTGGGCAAGAGTCACCGGTCGAGCCGAGCCATTCATGCTGCAGACATTGTACAGCTGAAGCGTGGCTCTACTACGTACGAGGGGCACACTGAAATGATCGGAAATAAGAAAAACCACATGCACGGTATAGCTAAATTGTATGTTATTGTTTTTCGAAGTATTCGAAATAATTCGAAGTATGTTTTAAATACATGATCCGTCACGTGAGACGATATTATAAACGGCATTTGACCTCCCTCCGTTGAAGCGTTGCAGAGTATTCCGGCACCAATCTACACGAGCCGCCTTTTGCTCTTCGGACCAATTGTGGGGAACCCAGCGTGAAACTAGCTTTCTTACACACAGCTCATTATGTAATATCGACTGAATTAGTCATTCCGATACTGATAACAGCCCAAATCTGCTCGTATGTCACATGATAGATGACGGTCATCTAATATAATTATATATATATATATATATATATATATATATATATATATATATATATATATATATATATATATATATATCATCTACGATGTATGGGGTTCTCGATCGATCTGCAGAAGAAACAGTGGAAGAGTGGTGATAGGTATATTGTCGTTTGACTCGGCGCTTCAAAATCATAAATCGAAACAAGTTCGCTGAGACATTTATCTTGAGATAAGCTGCGACAAAAATTGTGATAAATTATGGCACGGAAATGTTCACGCGTGAGCTACATTTCTGTTAACGAAGATTCTAAGAGTTTAAAAAGGTTTTGTTGTAACTCAATCCGAAATATTCTATTCCCGATCATTTCAGTGTGTCCTAACGTATTAATAAATAGATATGATAGTAAAAAACGTCTTATAAAACTTATCATTTATTATGTATTATTAAAGTTTGACCAAGCTGAAACAGCATCACAGAACAGGTGAAATATAGCTTGGGGGGAGAGGGGAAGTGGGGTGGGTGGAGGTGGAGTGTGGTTTCCCTATTGTTTTGTTTTTGGTTGAAGAATCACAGTTAATAATTGATTACCTGCTGGCGCTCCGCCCAGTTGCATGGTAAGAGCCTGCGTGATTGTCAGATAAATACGATCAGTCAAAGGCGTGATTACGAGACGTCCATTCAGTCCCATGTATTCGTAGCCGTACTCGAATAGCCCTAAAATACAAAGTAAAACAATATTAAATATTAAGGCAGTATTGAAAACAGAGTTTCAGTTACTATTATAATATCCACATGCACACACTTAATCACGCACGAACGCTCGTGAGTAGGGAACTATATTCGGTTCACTAGGCAATATTAAGGAAAAGTATACCAGTGCATTGTTTTATCCACAGATTGTCGTCACGTTTGAGCCAGTAGAAGCGCAGCTGACTCTCCCACTGGAAGGCGGCGGCTTCGGTCACGTTGTCGCGAACGAACCCCTCGATTATATCGCGCGCATGCACGTCAATCGTCGTGATCGTACGGAACTTTAGTCGGTCGTTCGGTGACAGATCTGTTAAGAGCAACATGCACATTTTTATATAAAAAATAACAAAGGAAGTGGTTACAGTGATCTAAAATATTCCTTTCATCTCTTTAAACTCGAAACTTCGTCACTCAGAAAACATCCGTTTTCGTCTCCATTCCATTTTAAGCACAATAAATATTAAAAAATATAAACTAATATAAATAAAAAGAATAAATTAATAATAATATATTCAAGGTACTATAAATACTGTATACTTGGGGAGTGCTTTCAGCCGGGATGGAAGATGTGATTTAGATGTGGATAGGCGTGTCGCTGCCGGAAACAAAGTCAATGGTGCCCTGAATGCATTAGTCAAAAGGCAAGGCGTGGTGAAGAGTGCACGCCTTGCAATACATAACGCAGTGTTGGTACCGACTTTGTTATATGGCAGCGAAACCTGGGTATGCCAGAAGAAGCATAAAAGCAAGTTGAATGCAGTGGAGATGCGATCTCTTCGTAAAATGTGTGGCGTTACCATAGCCGATCGAAAGCGAAACGAAGAGATTCGCAATATGGCAGGATTGAAAGCTGACCTTATCACAAAAATTGATAGGGGCGTACTCCAATGGTTTGGGCACGTTGAGCGAATGAGTGAAGACCGAATGGTGAAGAAAATATATAGAGCGAAAGTAAATATTAAAAGGTGTCGAGGTAGACCGAGACTAACTTTCGAAGACCATGTGAGCAAATTGCTCGAAGAGGGGAAGGTCAAGAGTACGCGGATACCTAGACGTGCATGTATGAAGAAGTTAATGAACCTGAAAGAAGCGAAAGGGGTATGTAAGGATCGTGACACTTGGCGATCTGTTCTCTCTGGCTACCCCGTTAGGGATTGTGCGTGAAGATAAGTAAGTAAGTAAGTAAGTACTATAAAGATCATTTTAAATATTTTTAATTCGTAACTGACCTTGTCTTACTTTGACCACAAGCCCATCCAACTGTTCATTCTGTTGCTGCAGGTGTTCCTTCATGGCACGTTTGTTGCCCTTCCGTATCCGTAAGAACGTCTCCTCGGTCTCAGCCGTCCACCAGACGCCGTTCGCAGCTAAGCATACCATGCCCTGATACTCCATTATCCACTCCGTTCTGATGAGAGGAATTCAAACAATAACAATTATCATTACTTAATCTGTCTGAGCGTAGATGACTACAATGAACTGGTAGAATAGGACAAGTCAAAAGATCAAGATAGCTCCAAACTTGCTTTATGACATTCTCATTGAGAACTCCAAACTTGCTTTATGACATTCTCATTGAGAAAAACTATCATCAAATAGTGGTTGTAATTATTATGATAATTTAAACTTTTACAATATTTCCGAGAAAGCTAATTAATAATTACGAAAAGGTTATACTGTAAATAAACCGATTTAAGATTTTAGTTGCATTTTTAATGGTAGGTAAGTTAAAAAAGAATTTTAAAAGAAGTAAAATCTTCAAATTATTTGTATAATTAAATCAATATTATACCTATTTGATTTTGTTATGTGTACATTTAACTTAAAATGAACTTATTGAGACATTTTAAGCAGTATTCCAAATGAAAAAATAAAATCATAAGAAATATGCACAATTGTCAGTGACATTTCTACCGCCATTGTTACAAAGCTTGCCTAAGGAATACACAATCTTAATCAAATAAAATCGATATCAACATATATTTACTAACCTGGGAACATTCCAATTTTTACCGTAGTAAAATATAGCTTTCTTGGTGATAAATTTATTAGTATTTCTCATCTCCGCAAGGACTAGGTTCATCCAGTCCTCGACTCTGCCTTCCGTGTACACGACGTATCGGAATTCCATTGTCTAGATCCCAGTTATGGACAAATGATGTGAAAAAAGCTGTTTATTCAACAAGTTAGTTTTTAAAACAGTTATAGGATTAATAAGGATATGATACATAGCAATATACAGAGAACCTAGCGACACCATACCGTTAAACGTATCATACACTAAATATAACGTATGATATACACCGATATAATACTTTAAGATGCAGATTTTTATTTTATTTACAAGTAATAACAAAAAAATATAGAAATGTAACAAAAAAATACAAAACCAAAAAACAGACCAAATAAAAAAGAGCGCGTTAATGTATTACTGGTAAGTAAGCAGTTGAATACATTTAAAAAGCAGATCAAAAAAATAATCCCTTGCATTGTTCTTAGAAACAACACAAACAAAGACGAAACTAGCGACACCATACCGTTAAACGTATCATACACTAAATATTAACGTATGATATACACCGATATAATACTTTAAGATGCAGATTTTTATTTTATTTACAAGTAATAACAAAAAAATATAGAAATGTAACAAAAAAATACAAAACCAAAAAACAGACCAAATAAAAAAGAGCGCGTAAATGTATTACTGGTAAGTAAGCAGTTGAATACATTTAAAAAGCAGATCAAAAAAATAATCCCTTGCATTGTTCTTAGAAACAACACAAACAAAGACCCTTATTTATAGTATTCATAATACACTATTTTATAAATATTTACATCCTTTTCAAGTTCTAAGCATATTATTTTCCGTTCTACAAAGATCACTTCCATAATCTGACATTAGAAATCATAATAATTTCCGACAATACGACCATAAAAATCAAATACTATATAATTAAACTAAATTAAACAATATACTAAAATGAAATTATTTTACAAAGAACGTGTTTTACGAACATTTTGTAGCCCTTCATTTTGTATCTTGTAGCATTATCAAATTTTAAAGAAAACGATTTTGCTTCATTATATTATTGTTTGGGGATAGGATAAAGAATATCATAAAATAAATAAATACATTGCAAGCATGTTACCGACGAATGAAGATTATATTATAATGTTTGTTAATATTGGGATAGTATGTGTTATTTTAAAAGTTAAATTATGCTAGAAGTATGGTAAAATAATGCTTTGTGAATCGTACCTCTCCTTCTGCAGAAATCATTTTCGTAGCCACTGGACGATTGGTGTGGTCAACATATAATTCTAATGCCCGTATGTTATCGAACATCTGTAAGTTATAAAAAAAGTTGATTTTACATTTTAAATAACGATATTGTTATATCCATAGAATACTATAATACACAATAGAATGGCTGTCAACTTTATTTTGTATGAGGCTTGGCGTCGCCAAACCCGAATCACTGTGTTGACAGACTGAATAAATTTAGACATTTTAGACTTTTGATTAATGTTCAAGATCAACATTAAAAAATCGTTTAAATTTTAATACATATTTATTTGTTTAAGAAGCGACAGTAGCCCAATGGCAGGGCACGGACCGCGAACCCAAAAAGGTCGTGGGTTCGAATCCGCCATTCGACTACTGGCGTGAACCACTCGTAACGCAAACAATTTAAGCTTACCACGAGTGGTTAAGGGGAATATATGGCTGTATTTTTACTTTGTACGAGGGGCGTTGCAATGGATGTTGAAGTCTGAATAAATTTACATTTTAGAATTTTTGATTAATGTTGAACATCATTAAAAAAATCGTTTAAATTTCAATACATATTTAGTTGTAAATAGGGTGTTGGCATTTTCTAAATAATTTGCATGCGAAATTTGGAAACGATTGTAATGTCCAAACACATACGTGTTGATTTTATGTGAATTGACGTGTTAGTGACATTTTAGTGGCTACGCGGGCTCCGCCCACTCCCCCGTTCTATTATGTATGTATTATAGTACTCTATGGTTATATCTGCCTGACACACTTTCATCAGTTTTCAGATTATTAATAATAATGCGATTTACGCAGAATATTAAATCACCATTATCATTCCTATCATTACAGCACTGCACAAGTCTACTCCTGAACATAGGCCTTTCCCAACTATTGCCACACATTACGGTCCTGAGCCACCTACATCTATCGGCTTCAGACATCCGACAACCGATGCGGAGCAAAAGTTCTTGAGTGGCAACCTCGTTCCGGTAAGCCGAGTGTAGGTGGCCGATAGTCGCCAATATAAATAATAGATCATGATGACTTTAATATTTGAATTAATTACTCACGCTAATTTCAATGATCCAATGATTATTCCGAATTATTGACAAATTAAAAAAATAGTAATGACATTTACGCCAGGTACTTTACTTCTCGTATACTATTGCAAAGTACGCACTTGCAGATAGAGTAGAAACTACGGAGTTTAGACTTCATAGTACCTATCAGTTTTCATTTTGAATTGAAAACGAGTGATTTTGCTAGTATTAATTATAATCGCTTATCGGAACTTAATAATATAGAAATTATGATTGAAAGATCTTGTAGCGTTCAACAGTTGGCTCAATTACCTCCTCAAATATCTTTGCCAAGCGTGGAAACTATGGAAAATGATCCCTCTGTGAGGCTATCTATGGGGAGGCATGTGTTCAGCAGTGGACTTTAATAGGCTGTAATGGACTGAAGATGGGATGTTTTTTTAATAGGATAGGGTGACAAACGAGGTGGACTGTATCCACCTGATGATAAGTGGTTGCTGCGACCCATAGACATCTACATCTATCCTCAAATACGAGTCAAAACGCAGATCCGATGTCACCCGTGAGCACTAAGATGGAATGCCTCGTCTCCAGCAAAAAATGTCTCCAGTTCTCTACAAAATGGTGAGCCATTTGAAATACAGCAGCTTTAGCTGCTACTTTAGGCTGGTATTCTGTGAGAGCGTGGTCCTTCCCCGGTCGAGCCGACACATTCGTGCTACAATTTACTACTACTATAGCTCCAGTATGGCTCTAACACGTAAAAACATACAATACCATGGAAGTGGTATGGTATTGTGTAATTGCCAGTAAAAGTGCAATTGAGAGAAATTTTCATCAAGTCATCATCATAATTATAGCCTTTCAAATGTCCATTGCTTTGTTCAGCAATCCGGAGGAAATATGGATTTCTCCCGTAGATTGACCTAGATAAGAGGTATATTCGCAATAGTTGCCGTGTTAGGCGGGCGTGCTGGCAACCGCAGACTTAGTTACAAACATACAATACTATAATACATACATAGCAGAACGCGGGAGAGGGCGGCGCCCGCGTAGCCACTAAAATGCTACTAACACGTCAATTCACACGTATAAATGCAACACGAGATGTGTTTTCACGTTACAATCGTTTCCAAATTTCGCATGCAAATTATTTAAAAAAATGCCAAATTGCACCCTATTTACAACTAAATATGAATTGAAATTTAAACGATTTTTTTAATGATGGTCTTGAACATTAATCAAAAATTCTAAAATGTTTAAATTTGTTCAGACTGTCAACACAGCGAATCCGGTTTGGCAACGCCAAACCTCGTACAAATTAAAAATGACAGCCATTCTATTATGTATAGTATTCTATGGTTACAAGCTGCTGCACATCCCGTGTTACAGTTTCACTGTGTCGTCTCTTACGACATCTACGAGATTACTTTGAGTAAGGGAATCTCTAAGCTACCAAGCTATTTTTAATTGGCCTTGTGTTGTTAATTGTGTAACATATTCATATATTTTTATTCATTTTATTCATAAAGCAGTTTTTTTAATTATTCCCGCTGGGTTTTCTGCTGATTCTTTCCGGGATAGAGGTGTTTTTCCGAACCAGTGGTAATTAAACAAAAGAGTGACTTACAATCAATATTATTTGTAATCTATATTGTATAAAAAGGTTTGTGTTTCTGTTTTTACGCCGCTACAAAAGTATATTAAGGTGATAAACAGTACTAATTAAAGTGTATTAGCTCGAAGAACGCTAGCATATGAAGCAGCATTACCTTGATCATATGCTCCTGAACGCAGCTACATTCACTACTACCGAGAATAGAAAGCAACTCGTCTGTCGATATGAAGAAAAATCTTGGGAAAATCCGTCTTTTGGAGTCTAAGTAATCATTCAAAGACTTTTGACATCTGCAAGAATAAAAAATATTATTAAGGGTATGTTCCGAAATACAACGCATTGTACTGTCCAATGCAAATGACGTCATCATTTGACACTTTATTGTACTAGCGTGCCGCCGCCATATTGTGTCGGATATCCGGCCATAATAAAACAATTTTTAATTGTGTGTTTACCGAAAGAAGCATGCCAGAATTTGTTTCTATTTATTCAAATACAAAAAAATTATAGAATAATTGATAGTATATCCATTAGGAGGATATAATGATTTTTGGAGCACAAAATGACAAAATAATCGCCTACACTTTTTGGGGGGGGGTTTTTTTTTCTTTTTTTTTTTTTTTTTTTTTTTTTTTTTGGGGGGTGGTTGGTGGTTTTTTTTTTTGGGGGGTTTTTTTTGTTTTTTTTTTTTTTTTTTTAGTTGTGTTGTGGGTTTTTTTTTTTTTTCGGGGGGGGTTTTTTTTTTTTTTACCCATTTTTTTGTTATTTAACTCCAAATGGCGCAAAAGTATGACGTCATATACTGTCCAATGTTTTGGAACGAATCACCAGTATAGCGTCGATTCATGACGTCATTTGCATTGGACAGTACACTGCGTTGTATTTCGGAACATACCATAAGTATTTCATAGATTCATAAAAAAGACACTTTTTTCTTTGCTATTATAAATCCACACAGGTCTTCTTTCATTTCTGACAGGGGTTTAGGGCAAGGAAGTAACCACCGCGTTGATGCAATGCGTATTTGCGGACTTCAAATGTCTTGGATTTTTTATTACGATGTTTTTGTTCACCGGCGAGAACAGGTAAATTAGTACTAAAAACTACCAATTAACAATTTCAGCAGTGACGGTGGGGATCGAACTCGAGTTGCTCGCGTGCTGTGGTTACGGCGAGCGCTAAGCTCCTGAGCTCATAGGTTTCTGATCTACTAATAATTTTACATAAATAAAAAATTATATGTATATAGGATGATACATAAGTTACATGACCAAACCATCGGTGGTTTGCTCATATGGAAAGAATGAATGAGGAAAGAATGACAAAGAAAATTTATGTTGCAGAAGTGAATGGCAGAGTCGGAAAGGGCGTCGGCGTCCTAGGCGAAAATTTATCGACCAAATTGGCGATTTATTAAAAACGGGCCAAATTAGGAGCACCCTTAACCGAAGAGCATGTATGCGTAGGTATATGGATGTGAAGGAGGCGAGAGAGGTGTGTCAGGATCGTGCCAAATGGAAGTCTGTAGTGTCTGCCTACCCCTCTGGGTGACAGGCGTGAGTGTTTATGTACATAAGTTACAATAAACAACCAATGTGTAGGTACTTATATTATGATTGTGATATACACCTGGCCGATTTCAAGCTAGAAGGAAGCTTCAAAGTACTATTGGAAATAAATATAGGGCTATAAGTACAAAGTGGAAAATTAACAGTTTCTAATTTTGAAGAAAGCACAATAATAGCTTTAACTAAGAGAATATTGCTACTGCTACAAATTTAAAGAATACGCATGTAATAAAATATTGCCGTCGCGCTATCCCCATATGACCAAGCTTAGTAACCGTAGGAGACACTTGCATCTAGGACGGGTTACTTCAATGAAAGTTTAACGAATTTATCCCGTATTCCCCTTCTTCCTTCTCAAAATCTAGACCGATTTTTCAAGGACATTGTAAGAAATATACCGTGACTATGTCAGTATGTTTTATCTTGTTTTTTTCTTTTAAATCTTATTTTTTATGTTCGTTTTATTCGTAACCTCATTATCAAATACACAATTATCCTCGATTAAATATCAAAGTATAGATGAGTTGTCGTCCCTGAGGACTAATATGGAATGCCTCGTTTCCAGTAAAAAGGGTCTCCGGTTTACTACACTCACCATACTAAACACAGGAGCATTAAGCTGATATTTTACGCTGGTATTCTGTGAGAGCGTAGTCTTTACCCCGGTCGAGCCAACCCATTCGTGCTACAACCAACGCCGTCTTAGACCACACCGGGGCCCTTGGGCACACAAGAATTTGGGGCCCTGTTAGAAAGTAAAAAAAAAGACAAAAACATTTTTTGCTCTGATCTTATATTTATATAGTTTAAAAATCAAATAATATCACTAATGAGGGCTCCACGACTTTTTCTGCCACCAGGGCGGCGCCACTTTACAATGAGGTAAAATATTTGACAGATTTCGTAGCGGGACGATAATTTCTTAAGAAAATGTATAATTTATGTTTCTTTCCTAAACTTTCTTTCAAAAAAGAAAATATTCTATAACATTAATACGTGTATTCTTTATTATTTATTACATTAAAATTTAGGCTTCACTTGTCTAAAAATAAGGATCGTAACAATTATTATTTGCTATAAAAGCTAATATTTGCGGTTGAAAATTATCATATTAAATAAATCATTTGCCGTTAAATATTTTGAAGTGATATTTTTATTAAACAGTACGAAATGATATTTTTATCCCATGGATTTCAAATATATAGATTGCCGAGAATTAATAACAAAATCCAGGCTATAAGTAAGGTAACTGTACAGCCCGACAAAAACGTTTAGATGGCGGCGAAACGCCGATCTAAATATTTTCTATCTAGGAAATCTGTCAATGCCACTTTTTCTGGCTAACTCAGCAATGTGTGGCTTGTCACTGCTCAGGGTTGCCAGAAAGTCACTAACAACGCCCTCATTTACTCTATAATTTTTTTGTCGGGTTATATTTTCCTAAAATAGAAAAAAGATTGTATAGAGTAAGCGAATAAGGCGAAAGTCATCTTTCGTCACGTTCCCGTGGCGAAAGATGACTTCTTACGAAAGATGGGCACGGGCCTCGTGTTTTTTGCCGTACCGTCTTATGGTAAAGACGGTACTGGCTACAATCATAATATAGCTGCAGAGTGGCTATTCTACGTACAAAAGTGTATAAGTATATAAGTAAAAGAGAATAAGATTTAAGGCTTAGTACTTTTGCAGTCCAATTCCCAGATTTATGAACTCCTCTAGTCTCCCGCTAATAGTACAGCAGTCAACAACATTCAAGCGCTTTGCCGTGTCTAACATTATCTGAAATTTTAATTTAGACAAGGTCAATTAATTTAGCTTTATTTTCAAAACATTCATTTATTTTATTCGCGTAGAGTACGAGAATTAATAAGATATTAATTATATCTTATTAATTCTCGTAAAAATACTAAGAAAGAAATTCCGCATCAAATGTTAGCCATTAATTTACAGTTGTTTTTTTTTTAATATTTCACTTTATTAAAAAATACAACAAATTATTTTCCCTTTCATTGATTTGCGATCTCTAATGGTATACTTTGATTTACTTACTAACACACTTATTTACTGTTAATTATAGACATAAAGTAATCGAAATTACCCTTCTGAATGACCTATCAATATCATCAAACTTCTTCGCCTCGTCGGGCAGCTGGGAGCGTATGTCCCCACCAACAAAAATGCCTTCTAGATAGAGCCACTTGCGCTGCGTTGCCAGCCATTCCTCAATCACTTCTGATATAAGGGATAAGCGGCGCTCCCAAGTTTGCACCACTGAGAAGAATGGTCCAATAAACCTAAAAGGTGAAGAAAGGCGTTGATCAGACGTTTTAGAATTTACGTTTTGTATTACATATTTTATATAAAATATGTTGGTAAAATTGTAAACTAAAAATTGTTTTGTTACGTGTACTTACAATTTTTTGTGAAATAAGGAGGGTTTGTGGTGTTAATAAAGTTTGAAATTCATGGTGTAAATCACCTTTACGATACTTTTGGAATATAATTAGGTAACAAATCTAAAATGGGTAGTCATGACAAAGCACATCATTATTAATGATATTGGAAGGGAAAGTGAATGTTAATTATTAGTGTTTTTACTTAATAGTTACAGTGATTAAAGTGTTAATTTAGGTAATTCTATCTTTGATTTAATAATATTGACCAATATACGACTAGACATTAATTATTATGATGGTATTTTATGTTTAACATTATTCCTAAACATGATAACAGCTTATCGCAAGTTCACTTCCGAACATAGACTCCCCCAAGGAATGCCACAGAACACGGTCTTGAGCCATCTGAATCTATAGGTCATTTTATCGAACGAATCGGTTGACTTGACTCTTAAAGTGAGTGTTACGTAAAATAGATGCTAGATGGCTTAATTCGATATGAACGTTGTTAAAGAGTAAACTCCAGTCGAACGTCGGAGCACAGCGTAAAATAGCTGCTTTATGCTGCTGTAATTCGTTTGGTGTGTATAGTGAACCGTAGGACCCTTCTACTGGAAACAAGGCACTCCATCTTAGTCCTCAGAGGTGACAACACGTCTGCATTTTGGTTCTTAATCGAGGATAATGTCTATGGAGCACAGCATCTACATACTTTTAGATGTACCATATCTTCGTTTTCCAAACTTATACTTTAAAAAAGCACATCCTCACAAACCTTACGATTAAAAAAAGTAATTGTAATAAGCAATAGTGCCTGTCAGCTCCGACGTTCGACTAGAGCTTACTCCCAAAGAACGTTCAAATCAAATAAGTAGCGTTAAGGGCTTCTAGTGGTACTGACTGCGAGGCGGCCATGCCCTGCAGCGTCATGGCGTCGTCGTCGAGGCGCGCCAGCACTTCGTCGCACGGGTCCAACGTGAAGCCGCGCTCCTCGCCGCCCGCGCTGTGCCGCGACACCGTGAACGCCACCGTGCTCCACGTCTCCTGCAGCTCCTTCACGCCCCGTTCTATCGCCAACTCCTGCCGTTGCCGACACGCTTTTATTAACTTGGTCCGTATGTGTCATTATCACACTCCTGAACATTGGCCTCCCCCAAGCAATGCCAAAAAGCACAATACTCAAGTCGAGTGTTCCATTACTAAACTTGCAGTCGTCACTCATAGGAACACTACGTAACAAGAACTTTTATTCCCCAACGGTTGTCGATTTTTCAAGCAATATGTCCAGCCCATTACCACTTTACCTTACTAATCTTTTAGGCTATATATCCTCTATAAATCTGGCAGTAAGAGAACTCCATGACCTAACCCTGACATGGTAGGGCTAGGGTATTAGGGATTGCTAGGGACTGCTAGGTAAATGGAACCTAGGTAGAGTTTATGGGGTCTAGTACTCCTTTCTACTCGTAGTATAGTTATTGAAGGAAAATTAGGGTTCCTATTACATGAACAAATAGCTACGTGACTGTAAGGTCTCGTTATTCGTTTTGACGTGGTGAATAAATCCGGTTTTGCCGACATCTGTATGTTATTATCAATCACGTACTCTTTAGGAGTATAATTACCCTTACTAAAAACAGTTTTTGCTTTATAAATGTTCTAAACTTTTAATACAAAAGGTCTGCAAATTTTCTGGGACTTTGTTATAAAAGCCCCATGAAGGAATTACTGACTCTTTGAGGTCGAGTAATTAGTATAACTAACTTGTGTTTTTTTTTTTCTAGTATTTACAGAACGTACGTCACAATTTTTAATAAATCTATTTTTGTTTTTATGTAGATAAATTACATTTTCGTAAATATATTGAGAGGCCAGTTATCATATTTATCTTTTAATTTTTCAATAAGGGATTCTTTCGGATCTAGGTTATAAATTGCTGTTATGGCTCTCTTCTGTAAAACAAGGATAGTTTCAATGTCAGTCAAGATTTCATATGAAATTATGCAATAGAAATAACAATACAATAAACGAACGAATCTTGCTGTTTCAACACATGTAAGGACGCTAATCTTTTTTCAGCATATGCTGCAGAACAAAGTTTTGCTTGTTTGTTCGGCAGCTTGTTTATATGAAACTTTTCGTCAACTGTAATTCCGAGGAAAAAAAGCTCCTCCCCCATCAAAAAGCACACTGGTATTCACCTGCTAAACATTAGTTGTGGTGAATTTATCGTTTTATTACTGTTCAAAAGCAAATTATTGACGATAAATCAGTGTACTACTTTTGATAAAAGATTTTTCACTTCGTCATATTTTAATAATTGCCTTTTAAGTCGGAAAACCAATAAAGTGTCATCAGCAAATAAAACTATATCGTGGTTTTTCACTACCAAGTAAGGTAAGTCATTAATGTAAAGTGTAAACTAAGAACAGTAAGGGGCCAAGAATTGAGCCCTAAAGAACACCTATAGATACTACCGACCCCGAAGAACTGCTTCCATTAATAATTACTGTTTGCGTTCTATTATTTAGACATGATATAATGAGTTTGATTGCTATGTTTTTTAAACTATTCCTGATTAATGTCTCATGGTGAACGCAGTCGCAGCAGAAGACCTTGGAAAGATTACAAAATATGCCCAAAGCATGCTCCGAATTCTCCCATGCACAGAAAATATTTTTAATCAGCTCAACACCGGCGTCAGATGTCGAGCGATCTCTTGTAAAAATAAACTGATTTTTAAGGAGTAATTTATTTACATTCATTTTTTACATTTGAGCTAAAATATTTTTTTCAGACTTTACTGAGCGTAGGCAGTACAGTAATATATAAAAATTGTGGGGTCTGATGTACTACCAGATATAAATTAAGGCATAATTTTACTATGTATCATTAAATCAGGAAATGAAACAGATTCGATACTAGTATTGAAAATAATAGCAACTTGGGGCGCGATTGTATCTATTATAGACGCAATAAATCTAACGGAAATCCTCCATAGATATGTTGTTTTCTTAACATCAATAGTTTTGAAATATTTTACAATATCTCCTCATAATATTTTATGATATACAAACTTTTTAAAGATATTAAATTTTCTTTGAGTGATGACAGCGACAGCAGGGGAGGAATACAGTGACTTGATAGTCAAGATCGGAATGCCGTTAAAATATTGTTTAAAAGCCGTTGCAACATATTGATCTAATTTTGTTAAATTATTGTTAAAATTTAATTCAAAATTTGACTTGTATAATTTCATCCATCCAGTTTCTCTATTGATTATACTTCAAGTCATTTTGATTTTATTAGAGGCAGTCTTAATTTTGTTTATTACTAAAGAGACTTGGCTGTGGAACACACTCTTAAATATTTTGGAATATTTTTACATACTCTCTAAATGAAACACTTTGATTATATGATCTATTATTGTAAAGGTTATATATATTTTGTATATGTATATTGTATTAGTTGTATTTAAATTTGGCATATTAAATGCATTGAAATTGACTTCTTATAAGCCAAAGTTACTTTAACGTAGATGCCACTCAAAAATTACTGCTGCCTTATGAGGTTAGACAAGTAAACTTTCTGTACAATCGACTTAAAGTTAAGATATATTATTTCCATATTTATTCCATTTTTATCGTTTTGTATTGGCGTTGACGATTGTATTGTATAAGTCAACTTCTCTAACTCGGCTGTTGTCAAATTATTTTACACCCTGCGTTTTAATAACATTACATCTGGCACAGTGTCTGTATCTGGCTGAGGTAATATGACGGTGTGATTGGAAAACAGTTAATACACATCATTACTTCTCTTTCTTAAATTGGTAGTTGTAAAGCAAAAGGTAAAAACCCCACCAAATAATTTATACATTAACAAAGATGTTCGATTAAAATAAAAGTAACCTTAATGGCATGATTGACAATTTGTTCAGCTACGTCCTGATGTTTGTGTAGCTCCATTGCGAACATGTTCTCCAGCGTGAAGCGATCAGGCGACATGTCGAACTCTTGGCCTAATTTGGAATAAATTTATCAAAATTAATACCAAATAGTTAACAGCTTTTATATTAAACGTGCTTTACATGTCATTGTATTAGATCAAATACAAATACGCTAGTATGCGTTAGTGTTCACAAGTTCACTTGAGGATAATATATTCCGAAAACGCTGAACTGTTCAGAATCCGTTATGAGAACATTATTATCACATAAAGTCTGCTTTTTATAGTGCTGGTGATGTTACCGGTTTTAGCCATCAGCTCTTTCCAATGACGTTCCCGCATGGCTTCATTTTTCAGAGACACCATCAATGGTACGACGCTTTTAAATTGCTTCATCTTTTGATCGAGCATCAAACCCATCGGCGTCAGGCGGACTGCTTTCGATAGTTTGCTAAAATGAAAGAAAAAGAAAGTTATGTAAACCATAGAATCACAAAAATAATAGTAACTTTGCCATTTTAAACTTTTTCTTTCCACATCTATATTATTGGGGCAAATTCATTGTAAAACATTTCTGATTCATCAACATCAGTCTGTAGCCTTTATTTACAAGTCCACTGTTCTACATGGGCTTAATCGTCAAGCTTAGCAGGCGAGTTGTCGAAAGTACCAAACGTCTCGCACCCTTTGATAGTGCTAGATGTCGCCGGTCTGGTGTAAATGAGATGGTTATATTGGCATATATCTGGAGCAATGAGGTCGTTCTGGAATTTACCATATTCGCCTCTCACCGATGGGCGAAATGAGATGATGAATTCTCTAAGTAAGTAAGTAATTTCTTGTTGTTTAAGATGATAAATTAGACTTTATGTGCAATGAAAACTAACTGATACTAATAATCTATACAAAAAAAATAAAATAAAATTGAAGTGTCTGCTGGGAATGTCAAAATAACAACTTTTCACTAAATGCATATAAAAGTATATACGGTACCTATAACAAAAAACATATTTTAATTTTTTTGCCTGTCTCTCTGTCGGTTTGTTCCGGCTAATCTCCGTAAAATAGTTAGACCGATTTTGACAGGAATTTCACTGGCAGATAGCTGATATTATAAGGAGTAACATAGGCTGCTTTTATTTTAGAAAAATAATTAGGATTACGCACAAAAAAAATTAAAACACATGAAATTCAATCGTAAAAAAATCCATGCGGACGAAATTGCGGACGGGACAGCTAGTGTATTAATAGAGTATTAGTGTTGCAATTTCATCGTGTTTAATTTAATTTATTTTTAATTTCGGGTGTTTTACAGCATTCACGGTCTTGAAGGGACTAGCGTCACTACCAGACGCCACTACCAGCTCTACAACTGACTGAGCATACAGATTCTATAGTTGAAACTGCGTTTAGACAAATATTTTTGGTATGCGAAACAATTTGAATGGATTAAATAGAGAAAAGCTGCGTAAGATGGCTGATAGCAACCGCATATCTAAAGACTAAGATCGTTATTGGAATTGCCATAGGGAGAGCCATGTCCAGCAATAGACTATCGCAGACTCAATGAGAATGATTAATTTTTAAATAGAATTTTAATAGAATAAGGGTGACAAACGAGCCCACAGTCCACCAGCCGACGGTAGGTGTTTACTGTGGCCAAGACATCTACAGAAGCGTTATCACCCGTGAGTTATAAGATAAAATGACACGTTTCCAATAAAAACGGTCTCCGGACTCTACACCCACCGTACGAAACATAGCAGCGTTGAGCTGCTATTTTACGCTGGTATTCTGTAAGAGTGTGGTCTTTCCCCGGCCGTGCCGATCAATTCAGCTTAATTACTGTCTCACCTGATGGTAAAAGTGATATAACCGAAGATGGTAAAACGCAATGATAATATATTAATCATGATAAAATTATAAACTATAAAGTACTAATGTAGCTTTCCACCTAAATCCTTACCGATATTCTTTAAAGAACTGCTCAATTCCATCAACGAGAGCTTGCGCATTCAAATTGACCCATAGTGTCCTAGCCCAATTTTCCCGAGCGTTCCTTTGTGCTTTATAAATCTTGTAAATCAATTCCATCGCTTGATAATCATTTTTAGCTCGATTGAAATTAGAGAAATCGGCCAGCGGATTATCAAACAGTTGTTCCGCCGCTTGTAGGTTTTTCTTGCGTGATTCTAGCTCGTCGAAATATTTAGCATATTCCTGTTAGAAGTTTTATAGTAAATTAAGTATTATAGTAAATTAAAGGCTCAATGATTCAGAGTAAATAAATTTATTACAAACTTTGTTAAAATATTCAAAATATGTTAAATAATAGAATTACAAGTCAAAAAAATATTATAATAATTAGAGATAGGCCGAATATTCGTTTTATATTCGGTATTCTTCATATTCGGCAGGTTTACCGAATATTCGTATTCGGCCGAATATTCGGCTTAACCATCGAATATTCGTAAAGTGGTACTCAAAGTATCCACTGTATGGAAATGTACGAATTGAGTAATGCCATGTCTTACCATCATTTTACTGTTGAAAGTATATTTGTTTATGGGTTAAATTTACTTGTGTAACGATATGTTTTTGAGGCACTGTAGATTTATTTCCATTATATCAAATAGAAAGCTTGATAAAAATCTCGTTGATGTTTGGAATCAAACAAAGGAACATTACATTACAGTCGTCAGTTTCTCTAAAATTGGTCCAAATAGTAGATTTCCTGCCACTCATTTTCATCACATAGGTACTTATCAATTTTCACTAAGAATACTTTTTTTTCTCACAAATATAGTCAAAACAAGCATGTGTCGGAAATTTGCTCAGTACTAGATAATGCAATAACATGTCAGTTGTGGCGGGGGAGCAAGGGGAAGACTGACGATAAACCCACACGCTTTACGGTAACAAGCTTCGACATAAATTGGTTAGGTACCTCGGTAATCCTGCCGAATAATGTTCGGCCGAATATTCGGTTCGGTAAAAATTTTACCGAACGTTCGGCCGAAATTCGTATTCGGTGAAATCCATATTCGGCCCATCGCTAATAATAATAAAGATAAATAACATTTATAACATAATAGGCAAATTGGTCAAAAATTGCCTAAGTCATAGAGGGAGTTCGTATATATGAAAATTTTCTAAGTAATTGAGCCTGTTCATGTATAAGAAATAAGTCATGAAGTTCGTGTATAAATTACTTGTATGTGGAGCTGCCGGAGACGCTTACCCAAGGGTGTATATATCGTTACTGGTTTGTAGAAAGGGCGAACAAGTCATTTTTCTATGATTCTATTTTTCGTAACCGAACATTTCCCTGGGTCATTTTGAATCGATTTGTAGTAACAGCGAACAGAAAATAAAACAAATGTGTAACAGCGAATATCACCTATTTGTTACGAAGAAAGGCCTGATGTTTCATATTCGCCCTTATTACAATTTACTAATTTAATCATCACACTGTTTTGTTATGCAAAATGGCGAATAATGTATATTCACCCTTTCTACAAAACAATGACGATATATAGGGTGGTCCAAACAGTGAGGTTATAATTTTTTTTTGATTCCTCACACCTAGGGGTATCCGAAAATACCCTATGTATGTTACGCGATTTTTTGTAGTTTTCGAGTTATGATTTTTTTTATCCTTTTGTGAAAATGTTCACCCTAAACAGCCTAACATTAAAAAATGTAATTGTAGGATTTTTTCCCAAGTTTTTTTTTGTTTGTAGCATGATCCTTATGAGTTGCTCTATTATGCATAAAATAATTAGCTTCCTAACATTCACCGAAGATACAATAATTTTAATCGAAACTTAAAAATGTTCTGTCAGGAGAGTGGGGCTTGACTTTTCAACATTAAATGAAAAATAGTAATAAATGATTTCATACTTTCTAATTAATTTTAAAAACTTGGCAGTACCTTAATCTTTCATAATAACATTAAAAAAAATGACACTTAATAAGCCAGTTTTTCTGTTACAGACTTCTGAAGTTACTCGATTCACTGGCGCTGCGAAGAGATGTTGCATCTCTTTGCGTATTTTATCGCATCTATCACGGGGAGTGCTCTGAGGAATTGTTCGGATTAATCCCAGCCGCCAAATTTCGTGAACGCCCTACACGTCAAACGTCCCGATACCATCCACACCATCTGGATGCTTGGCGGTCCACCACTGTACGTTTCACAAGGAGTTTTCTTCCACGTACAACCTCTCTGTGGAATAGTTTACCACCGCAATTTTTCCGGACCGATACGACCTGGGGACCTTCAAGAAAAGAGCTTACTCCTTTCTAAAGGGCCGGCAACGCACCCGCAATTCTCCTGGTGTTGCGGTTGATCATGGGCGGCGATAGTCACTTAACATCAGGTGAGCCGCATGCTCGTTTGCCCCTTCTTCTATATATAAAAAAAAAGCATTTACTATCTTAGTTTAGCCTTAGAAATGATATAAAGATTTTTTAAATCAAATTAACTATTCAGGTAGTTTCCTGCCTGAGTAACTTCAGAAGTCTGTAACAGAAAAAGTGGCTTATTAAGTGTCATTTTTTAATGTTATTATGAAAGATTAAGGTACTGCCAAGTTTTTAAAATTAATTATAAAGTATGAAATCATTTATTACTATTTTTCATTTAATGTTGAAAATTCAAGCCCCACTCTCCTGACAGAACATTTTTAAGTTTCGATTAAAATTATTGTATCTTCGGTGAATGTTAGGAAGCTAATTATTTTATGCATAATAGAGCAACTCATAAGGATCATGCTACAAACAAAAAAAAACTTGGGAAAAATCCTACAATTACATTTTTTTAATGTTAGGCTGTTTAGGGTGAACATTTTCAAAAAAAGGATAAAAAAAATCATAACTCGAAAACTACAAAAAATCGCGTAACATACATAGGGTATTTTCGGATACCCCTAGGTGTGAGGAATCCAAAAAAATTTATAACCTCACTGTTTGGACCAGCCTGTATATGAGGTGCTTTACTGTTGCTTTACTGTTGCCGTGTAGTGGCGGTTGAGAATATCCACTACCCCATATCTTCCCGTGGGTGTCGTAAGAGGCGACAGTGGGACACAGAAAGGAGATGGGCAGCAGCATCTTACTGATAACAACTGTGATAAAATAAAAAACTGCGGTTGCCAACCCGCTCGCCAAGCGTGGCAACTATGGCAAATATCCCCCCACGAATAACGACGCAAACAAACGGCCCCCAGTCCCCGGCGGTCCCGCTATTCCTGGCTACGGTGGCGACCATGGTAACGGCGGGGCAGGGGGTGCTAAGAATCTCCGGTGGAGGTTCGGTTGCCACCTACGACGACTCGACATAGCAACATATAACGCACGCACCCTGAGAACTGACGAGAAGATACTGGAGCTGGAAGAAGAGGTAGACAAGTTGCGCTGGCATATTATTGGATTATCCGAGGTCCGAAGAGAGGGGGAGGATACGGCAATCCTCGAGTCCGACAACTTGTTCTACCACCGGGAGGGTGACCATCCGTCCCAAGGAGGTGTCGGATTTATAGTCCACAAGTCTCTCGTCAACAACGTTGTAAAGATTGGGAGTGTGTCGACGAGAGTCGCGTACCTGATACTCAGAATCACCAAACGGTATTCGCTGAAGGTCATACAGGTTTACGCACCAACCTGGGCACATCCCGATGAGGAGGTGGAGGAAATGTATGAGAATATTTCCAGAGCCATGCATTCCTCCAAAACCCACTACACGGTGTTGATGGGAGACTTCAACGCAAAACTAGGCACAAGAGAAAGCGGTGAGCTGAGGGTGGGGAAATTTGGAGTAGGGCAACGGAACCGAAGGGGCCAGCAGCTGGCCGACTTTATGGAGAAAGAGGGACTCTTTATGATGAACTCTTTCTTCCAGAAGCGGCCCCACAGGAAGTGGACCTGGTCGAACCCCGACGGTTCGACAAAAAATGAGATTGACTTCATTATGACGACCAGACGCCAACTGTTCAGTGATGTCTCAGTGATCGCAAGGGTGAAAACTGAAAGCGATCACCGAATGGTTAGAGGCACACTGAACCTAAACGTTAAGTTGGAGAGGTCTCGTCTAATGAAGTCAACGCTCCGTCCCCCTCGTGCTCTAATCCAGAATCCCGAAACATTTCAGCTCGAATTACAAAACCGCTTTCAGTGCCTAGAGGATTGCAATGCAGTGGACGATATGAATGACAAGCTCGTGGAAACTATCCATGCGGTCGGAGCTAAGTTCTGCAAGACCCGCCGCAGAAGAACACAAAACTCTCCGATCACACTCTTAATCTCATGGCTGTTAGACGAGAGATGAGGCTGCAATCGTCAACAGATTTGACAGCATACAGGCAACTGAACAGACAAATCTCCAAATGCATGCGGCGAGACTTACGCAACTTTAATACTGCTCGTATTAAAGAAGCGATCGAGCGGAACCAGGGCTCCAAAGTCTTTGCCAGAGATCTGTCTGCCAGAAAGAGCCAACTGTCAAGGCTGAAGACTGAGTGTGGCAACATCGTTTCCGGGACACCTGAGATTCTGAGTGAGATTGAGAGGTTCTATGGGCAGCTGTACACATCATCGTTGGAGCCACACGCAAGTGTGAGTAACGATCCAAGAACAAGTATTATCCGACACTATTCCGATGATATCCCGGACGTCAGTCTGAGCAAGTTTAGAATGGCTCTCCACCACCTTAAAAATGGCAAAGCCCCGGGCGAGAATGGAATTACAGCGGAGCTTCTGAAAGCGGGTGGAACACCGGTACTTGAAGTCCTTCAGAAGCTCTTCAATTCCGTCCTCCATGGTGGCACTACTCCAGAGGCGTGGAGCAGAAGCGCGGTGGTCTTGTTCTTTAAGAAAGGCAACAACGCTCTCTTGAAGAACTACAGACCGATTTCCCTTCTGAGCCGCGTCTACGTGCTGTTTTCGAGAGTCATTACGAATCGTCTCGCACGCAGACTCGACGACTTCCAGCCTCCCGAACAAGCCGGTTTCCGAAAAGGCTTCAGTACCATAGACCACATACATACCCTTCGGCAAATTGTACAGAAGTCCGAAGAGTACAATCTGCCACTTTGCCTGGCGTATGTGGACTATGAGAAAGCTTTTGATTCCGTCGAAATTTGGGCGGTGCTACAGTCTCTTCAGCGGTGCCTAGTTGACTGTCGGTATATTGAAGTGCTGAAGTGTTTGTACAGTAGGGC